TTTTTTTGAGATGGAGTTTCACTTATGTTACCCAGGCTGGAGTGCAATGGCGCAATCTCGGCTCACCGCAACCTCCGCCTCCTGGGTTCAGGCAATTCTCCTGCCTCAGCCTCCTGAGTAGCTGGGATTACAGGCATGCATCACCATGCCCAGCTCATTTTTTATATTTTTAGTAGAGACGGGGTTTCACCATGTTGACCAGGATGGTCTCGATCTCTTGACCTTGTGATCCACCCGCCTCGGCCTCCCAAAGTGCTGGGATTACAGGCTTGAGCCACCGCGCCCGGCCGCCTTGATCTTTTTCAATAAAATTTTTTATTCTCTATTGACATTTGTAGTATTGGGAGATGCAGCACTCCCTAAGTTAGTAATACACAATTTGAATTGCTTCCTAGGAATGACTTACAGCCACAGTGCCCTTCCTTGAGGGAGACCTATCACTCCTTCATTCCTACTATATAATTTATTTTCTTTTTAGTTGGCAAATAATAATTGTATGTATTTGTGGGCTACAATGTGATGTTTCAATCTGTACACATGAAGGAGTGATTAAATCAGGCTATTAACATATCTGTCACCTCACCTACTTATTTTTTTGTGGTGAGAAGTTATAAAATCTTTTAGCAGTTTTGAAATATGCAATATATTATTATTAACTGTGATCACCATGCTGTGTAATAGATCACTAAAACTTATTCCTTCTGTCCAATGGAAACTTTGCACCTACTACTGTACTTACCATAGCAGGCCTTTCTAGCAGCCTCCTCCCTGTCTTTTTATCCTTTCTTTTTTTTTCATCCACAGCTCAGTTAATTGCTGACTGGTCTCTTTATCATATGCAATAGTTTAATCCTTTATTTGTTTCTCAATCTCTATGTCCTGCCTGGTTAACATTGGGAAAGTTTTCTTTGCTTCTATTTGTGTTTCCAAGCTCCTCAGTGGGAGGATGCTACAAAGTACACACCTCTAGGAATTAAAACTATGTTAGACGTCTATCCCTTCTCATCGCCTTCCCCCAAAAAGCCAAAACACTGCCATCAACCTCTGAAATCTTTCAAAGTATTTGGAATTAAAAAAAAAATTATTTCATCCTTTTTCTCTAATGTTGGTTCCTTAACCTTTAATATTAATCAGAATCTGTAAAATAAATTCACTGTCACTGTTGTCTCTTTATGAGTATTACAATAGTATTTGCTTTGTGTAAATTTTCTTTGTTGATATACTTTCGGGCATATTTTGCAGCTTACAGCAAGAGGAGTTAAAACCTTTTTAATACTGTTCTTTTATAGGAAATTGAAGTGAGGAATTCAGACAACCAACTTAAATTTGTTGAATAGAAATATAGTTGTCTCTAGGTATCAGTAGGAGATTAGTTCCTAGATCTCCTTGGGATATGAAAATCCAAGGGCACTCATGTCTATGATATAAAATGCCATAGTATTTTTACTAACCTTTTCATATCCTCTCAATACTTTAGGTCATCTCTAGAAATTATTTTCTGTGGGAAGAGTTTCAGACTTTTAAGTAGAATTGTATGTTACTATTGATTGCTGATTGATTTAATCCTAATCCTGACAATCATTTAGTAATAGTAACAACGTTTTGGAACTTGTTTTCCTTTTTTTTGAGACAGAGTCTAGCTCTGTTGCCCAGACTGGAGTGCAATGGTTCGATCTCAGCTCACTGCAGACTCTGCCTCCCAGATTCAAGCAATTCTCTGCCTCTGCCTCCTGAATAGCTGGGATTACAGACACCTGCCACCACGCCTGGCTGATTTTTATATTTTTAGTAGAGATGGGGTTTCACCGTCTTCGCTAGGCTGGTCTTGAGCTCATGAGCCTCATGAGTCACTGCACCCAGCCAACGTTTTGAAACTTTTTTTGTGGTGGAATTTGCTCAGTAGAACCTTGGAGACTTCGGCATACTAGAGAAAATGTATTAGAAGCCTGGTTTTTTTTTTTTTTTTTTTTCACTTTATAAATTTTTGACTTCTATGGGAAGTCTTTGGATTTAAAAATAAGTAGGACTTTTTCTCCTGATAATTTGTAGAAAGTTAGTGGGTGGAGGCCAAAGGCAATGGCTCATGCCTGTAGTCCCAGCACTTGGGGAGATCAAGGCGGCCACATCATCTGAGGTCAGGAGTTCTAGACTAGCCTGGCCGTGACATCCTGTCTTTACTCAAAATATAAAAAAAATTAGCCAGGCATAGTGGTGTGTGCCTGTAGTCCCAGCTACTTAGAAGGCTGAGGCATGAGTATGGCTTGAACCTGGGAGATAGAGGTTGCAGTGAGTCTAGATCACGCAATTACACTCCAGCCTGGGTGACTGAGTGAGACTCTGTCTCAAAAAAAAAAAAAAAAAAGTGTATAGACAGTGGAGGAGAGGATTTCGTCCTGTGCATAACATTCTAACCTTATCTTTGCTGTTATTCTGTGTGATCAAGCAGAATAGTCAAAAACACTGAATTGAGCCTAGGACTTAAGGAGTAAGAATATGTACACTTTTTATGTCAAAGTACATTGCACTTTATTAAGATTCTGAATTTCATTATATTGCGTTTGCATGACTGATTTAATTCCTATGCAGGTTAGCATTTTTTATTATGGAATATATTCTAATAATCAGTGTTAGAATATAGAACTTTCTTATTAATCTTGAAGCATCTGATACCAGGAATTGTGGCATGTAACAGGGATTTACCAAAGAAATTTAAGTGTTTTTGAATAGCTTTTTCTCATGGATTTTTTTTTGGGAGAGATCGGTCTCTCTTTTTTATTTTATTTTTATTTTTATTATTTATTTTTATTTATTTATCTGTTTTTGAGATGGAGTCTCCCTCTGTCACCAGGCTGGAGTACAGTGGCCGATCTCGGCTCACTGTAACTTACACCTCCCGGGTTCAAGCGATTCTCCTGCCTCAGCCTCCTGAGTAGCTGGGTCCACAGGCGGGTACCACCATGCCCAGCTAATTTTTGGATTTTTAGTAGAGAGGGGATTTCACTCTCTTGGCCCGGATGGTCTTGATATCCTGACGTCACGATCCCTCCTTAATCTGGGGAAGCTAGCTTCTATAGATAACAGGGTCTGTGACTTTTTGAAGCTAATATTAGAAATAGAATGATAAACAAAATATAATTATTGAAAAGAGAAAATTTGTAAAAATATGTCACATCACTTGGTAATTAATATAGTACAGACTGAAATATTTCAGAGGCTTTAGGGTATTGGTTTCAAGTTTTGTTTTTAGGAAGGAAGAAGTCTTTTACAGAAAATGTTTGTGTTGTGTATGAAGATTGTTGGGTGATCATCCTAAACTGCAAATTTTCACTTTTTTTTTTTTTTTTTTTTTAATTTTTGTGAGACAGTCTTGCTGTGTTGCCCAGGCTGGAATACTATGGTGTGATCTCAGCTCACAGCAGCCTCCTCTCAGGTTCAAGTGATTCTCAGCTTGAAGCAACCTCAGCCTCCAGAGTAGCTAGGATTACAGGGATGTGCCATCACACCTAGCTAATTTTTGTGTTTTAGTGGAGACAGGGTTTTGCTATGTTGGTCAGGCTGGTCTTGAACTCCAGGCCTCAGACCTCAAGTGATCTCAGCCTCCCAAAGTGCTGAGTTTACAGGTGTGAGTCACCTTGCCAGGTTTTCACATTTTTACTTAATACATTTTGAAGTCTGTGCTCCTAGAGAGGTGAGATACTTAATTTTATTTATTTATTTTTATTTTTGTGGTGTGTGTGTGTGTTTGTGTGTGTGTGTGTGTGTGTGTGTGTGTGTTTTGAGATGGAGTCTCTGTCACCTAAGCTGTAGTGCAGTGGCACGATCTCAGCTCACTGCAACCTCCACCTCCCAAGTTCAAGCGATTCCCCTGCCTCAGCCTCCGGAGTAGCTGGGATTACAGGCACGTGCCGCCACGTCCAGCTAATTTTTTGTGTGTTTTTACAGGGTTTCACTATGTTGCCAGCCTGGTCTCAAACTCCTAACCTTACATGATCCATGCACCATGGCCTCCCAAAGTGTTGGGATTACAGGCATGAGCGGCTCCTGGCCTTTATTTTTAATTGTAGTTAGTGTTAATATCTGAATGATTTACTTTTTCTGACTATTTTAAGGAAATTTTTATTTAGGCTACCTCTCCAGGAAGAAAACATATCCTGGATTACAAAAGAAGAGTGGGAAATAGGGGAATCTAATAAAGCTGTGTTAATGAGTATAATGACTTTGTAATTTTATAAAAGCAGACTTCAGTTGTTTTAATATGGTTTCATGGATATAATAAAAAACCAAATCTAGCAAAACCCAGTCATGAATGGGGCCTCCTGAAAATCACTGCAGAAAATAAAATCATATTATCATAAGGTTAATGAAATGACCAGAGTGAGCCTGTACAGTCAGCCTGCAAGAAATTCTGGGGTCTGGCAGTATAATTTAAATCTGTCTTGGCCCTGGCCACCAGTTGCTGTTACCTTGTTTAAACATGGATGGGAACAATTTTGAGTCCTGCTACTGGGATTAGGACTTTATTAAGCAAAATTTCTGTAAAATATATTTCTAGAAATAGGATTAATATATTAATTGATATTGTTTCCAGTGCCGAGTATTATGTCTTCTATATTACTTGCATTAAAAAGCTCTGAAAAATAAAGTTAAAAAATAACTCTTTGCTAATAAAACCTGACCTGAAGTAACATCAGGCTATATATAGTCTTTACTTTTCACACCATCCATAGTTCCCTCAGCAAAGATAATGTGTTTGATTATCTGTTGCTGTTTGAGACTTCTTGAGAGGGTTTTATAATGTAGGATACATGTGTCACAATACCTCTATAAAATCTGGGAAATTCTAAATTTTGGAAAGTTGCTTGTCTCAAGAGTTTTGAATAAGGGATTGTGGATATGTATCAACTTACTCCTCTGTGTGAGAATGCTTGTTTTTCCATACCCTCAGCAACACTGTGCTTTGCTGCATTATTAATGTGTGGAAATAGCCAGTGATTGTAAGTATTATTTGTCTTAGAGGTTGTGGTAGTAGAACTCAGATTTATAGTGTAACATTCAATTCTGGAAGAGCAAAGTTATTACCTTAAATGACCCAAAGTCTTCCTTTGTCTTTGCACCTGTTTTAGTTACTTCTACAGTTAACTTGGCTGTAAATGTGACTGTATATCGTTAGCAGTTACTGTAATAGTATAGTTTGGCAGGAAGTAGATGTGATATTCTCTTTGACCTAATGATATTTTGTGAGGAAAAGTATTAGTGATTCTAATGATGGAGTCATTTCTCATGGTAACTAAGGGTCATCTTAATAAGAGAGTTGGTGCAAAAAGAAATGGTAGTTCTTATATTTAGCATATTAGTAGCATTCTATTTGGGATTTTCCTCTTTTCTGGATTTGTAATTCCTTTGCCATATGTTGTAAATACTGAGTTCCAAGTAAATTTTTACTCAGCTGGAATTTTATTTTTTTGGATGAATGATCTGCAGCATGACTAAAGCCTAGGTTTTGTTTTTTTTCCCCCTTTAGCAGTTAGCCACTTCCAACATTATTTGTTTGAAATAAGCCATTCTTCCTAATTTGAAATACCATATTATCTTCATTATACCTAATTTCTTAGATATTTCTTAGATAAGATGAAGATAAATGCCTCGTTGGGTTTATGGGAGTTTTATAATACACTTAATATTTTCATAAAAATCTTGAAAAACTTGCCCCTCTTCCCCTCAAATATCTTGGCAACTTTTGTGCATTCTTCCAGATAAATCCCTTGGAAATAGGATTTAGATTGGATTTGTATTAAACTTACATATTAATTTGGAGAACATTCATGTTTGTGTAATATGGAGTTTTCTGGGTAGGAACTTTTTTTTTTTTTAAGTAAAATTATATGCTCTTATTCGTAAAGATTCCTAGGAAAGAACCACTCTACAAAGAGATAAATTACATACACTTCTCTTATAGAATTTAATGGCAAATTTGAAAATATATAGCTTATGTTTTGAAAATAAACAATTTGAATCTATTTACCATATCATTTAAGTAATTTAAATTAAATATGAAGACTTTGTGAACATATTTTAAATATATCCAGAGAATGAGAACCTCTATGTAAGAGAGCAGGTTTTTTTTTTTTTTTTTTTTTTTCCCCTGTATTTTTTCTTAGAAATTATCATTTGTTGCTACCAAACAAATAGCTAGGAGAGCTGGCTTTGGTAATTTATCTATTTTGAAAGAACTTTAAAAATGGATACTTATGCACGTGTGTGTTATTTTCTACAACATGTATATTTTGTATAGAAGGCAAAAGTTAATTTGAAATTACAACTGGTAATTTTCTTCTGTTTTCCTATTTTAAATGTAGACTAAGAATTTTCATTTTTGTCATGTTTCACTTTTATGATGTCTAAAGTTGAACTTCAAATAAATATGATTTCTATTTAAGGCTGCCATTTTAAAGATTGTATTCTAAAACTGTGCTGGCCTAGATACTACAACTGAACTTTTTTTCTTTTTAGTTACTCCACAGGATCCACTGAACATAGGATGTTGCCACAAAGTCTACCTCGTGTATTTTTCTCTTTGACTCATGAGCTGTGCAATTGCAGATTGAGCACAATGTCTGCAGACTGTGTTGAAAAACCCTGAAGAACCTAATTAACACAGGATGACCTAGGAGTGATTCTAAGTCTATAACAAGATACTACTCATTAGTGAATGTGTCAGTCTTAGTACTGAATGCTGCAGATAACAGCAAGTAGCTTCTCCTTTATTTCTGAAGTATTCACTTGACCTTCCATCAGTAAGACGGACTTTTCTAATCTGTTCTGGGAGATATTAATGGAATATAGTCATGTCCACTCAAGACGAGAGGCAGATTAATACTGAATATGCTGTGTCCTTGTTGGAACAGTTGAAACTGTTTTATGAACAGCAGTTGTTTACTGACATAGTGTTAATTGTTGAGGGCACTGAATTCCCTTGTCATAAGATGGTTCTTGCAACATGTAGCTCGTATTTCAGGTAAGTACTTTTAATGTTTTAAATAGAAATTCTTTGAAATGTTATTTAATTATTTTAAAAAGCCACATCTCAATGTTTTGCTTAAGTTTTCTATTCAGATGATGTAGCTCCTGCCAGATCTCATTCTTGCAGGTGTAAGGGACATATAAAAGAAGTTTTATAAAGGTTTAAATACAAGAAATTTGTTGCAATTAACTAAGGTGAAGTTTTAATGTTGGGAAGGCAGAAAGATTTAGAATATTTCTAGACAAAAATAAATGGGATAATTTATACTTTGAGATTCTAAAATGCTACCTTTAGAAAATAGTGATCTCTGTTTTTATTTTATTTTTTTATTTTTTTTTATTTTTTGAGACGGAGTTTCACTCATGTTACCCAGGCTGGAGTGCAATGGCGCGATCTCGGCTTACCGCAACCTCCGCCTCCTGGGTTGAGGCAATTCTCCTGCCTCAGCCTCCTGAGTAGCTGGGATTACAGGCACGCGCCACCATGCCCAGCTAATTTTTTTGTATTTTTAGTAGAGACAGGGTTTCACCGTGTTGACCAGGATGGTCTCGATCTCTTGACCTCGTGATCCACCCGCCTCGGCCTCCCAAAGTGCTGGGATTACAGGCTTGAGCCACCGCGCCCAGCCTGATCTCTGTTTTTAAACTGACAAGTTATCATAGGGTCAAATAGTAGTTTTTAGAGGGTAAAAATTGGTGCTGTTACACCTGCTAATACTTTTCTTTGCAAAATATATTTTTCTCTTTGTTACTATTACCATTTGAGATATTTCTTTTTACTAACTAGACTTCTGCTAGATTTAAATATTTAGTAACTACTAACATTGTTGGTGTTCTCTCTGCCCCTGAACATAGTAGAAGTTAACTTAGTTCCTCTTTGCTAATAACAAATGTATAAAGCTTAACTTTACATTTGTGTGATCTTTTGCATCTTTGTTGTACGTTTCCTGAACAGAATAGAAGCCAAAGGCATAGAAATTGCTTTATTTGTTCTTTGCTTTTAGGTTATTTTTGACTTAGTATTTGAGAGAGGGAGAATAAACTGAATTAAATGTGGACCAGCATATTTCTATTACAGATATTAGCAGCCATAAGCAGCAGTCATCAGTAAGTTTGGTTCTGCTGTTCTTTAATGACAGCTATAGACAGGACAGATTTCATTTGACATTTCAAGGCTAACTTACTTATATGAAGATACAGAAACTTCACATTCCCTAACTCATTCCATGATGATTGCAGAAGCTAAGGCCCAAATACCAGTAGCCTTTGCTATGCCTACACATTTTTTTTTTTAAAAGACGGAGTCTTAGTCTCTTGCCCAGGCTAGAGTATGGTAGTGCTATCTTGGCTCACTGCAACCTCTGCCTCCCAGGTTCAAGTGATTCTCGTGCCTCAGCCTCCCAAGTACCTGGAATTACAAGCATGTGCCACCATGCCCAGCTAATTTTTTTTTTTTTTTTTTTTTTTTTTGAGACGGAGTTTTGCTCTTGTTACCCAGGCTGGAGTGCAATGGCGCAATCTCGGCTTACCACAACCTCTGCCTCCTGGATTCAGGCAATTCTCCTGCCTCAGCCTCCTGAGTAGCTGGGATTACAGGCATGCGCCACCATGTGCAGCTAATTGTTTGTATTTTTAGTAGAGATGGGGTTTCACCATGTTGGGCAAGCTGGTCTGAAACCACTATCTCAAGTGATCTGCCTGCCTTAGCCTTCCAAAGTGCTCGATTATAGGTGTGAGCCACTGTGCCCAGCCCAGTGTCTGCAATTTTTGTTTCAGGTTAAGCTGCGGATTTTTCATGCAATTTCAGGCGCTGATTTTCTTGTTTGTTAGAAAGTGTTGCCTATTTGCAAATAATTGTTCTACAGCCTCGTTGATCATGAGAATCCTCTTGTTGGGTGCTTTTACAAATGGAAATTCTTGGATTTCAAACCCAGAAATTCTGATTGAGTGGGTCTGGGTTATGGAATCAGAATCTATATATTTAAAAGCTTCCCAGGCCGAGTGGTGGTTCATACCTGTAATCCCAGTGCTAGGAGGCTTAGGTTGGGGGATCACTTGAGCCCAGGAGTTTGAGACCAGCTTGGGAAACCTAAGGAGATCTTATCTCTGCAAATAAAAAATTATTTTTTAATTAGCCAGTTGTGGTGGCATGTGCCAGTAGTCCCAGTTACTCTAGAGGCCGAGGTGGGAGGATTGCTTGAGCCCAGGAGTTAGAGGCTGCAGAGTTGTGGTCACGCCACTGCACTCCAGCCTCGGTGACAGAGCAAGACCCCATCTTAAGAAATTTAAAAAATGTAAGTTTTTACAATTTTGAAAGAAAAAAGCTTCCCATATGGTTGTGACATCTGGTTTGTTTTTTCAGATCCATTGTTTTAGCAGGTGGTATTGGAAAATCAGGGTTACAGGTTTAGTAAATATCTGGGCTCATTAGCTCGCCTTGCCTTCCACACCTTTGAGAGAGAGAGAGAGAGAGAGAGAGAGAGAGAAGGGTCTCATCGTGTTGTGTTTTCCAGGCTGGCCTTTAACTCCTGGGCTCAACTGATCCACCTCAGCCTCTCAAGGAGATATAGGCACACACCACCACTCCTGGTCAACTCTGGGAATTTTTTTTTTTTTTCTTTTTGAGATGGAGTTTCACTCTTTTGCCCAGGCTACAGTGCAGTGGTGCTTGGCTCACTGCAACCTCCACCTCCCAGATTCAAGCAATTCTCCTGCCTCAGCCTTCTGAGTAGCTGGGACTGGTATGAGCCACCACGCCCAGCTAATTTTGTATTTTTAGTAGAGACAGGGTTTCTCCATGTTGGTCTGGCTGGTCTCGAACTCCCAATCTCAGATGATCCACCTGCATCTGCCTCCCAAAGTGCTGGGATTACAGGCGTCAGCCACTGCGCACAGCGGAGTCTGGTTTCTTAATACCCTATGGATACCAAGGGACAACTGTATATTATCTGTAAAGCAAACCAGATGTTTATTAAATAAATAGAATAGTTCAGTATGTGTTTGGGGTTGAAGCCACCCATCATTAAAATCTTGTGCCTGGGACAGTTTCATATCCACAAGAAGAAAACCCCTACATGTTTTTCCTCCCATATGCTGTGTATCTTTTTCTCTGGACTGGGTAGGTTATTGTGTACTTCCACAATAATTTGAGCTTTTCCCAAGTGTTCTTCAACCAGATTCTGCTCTAAGAATTGTAGCTTTCAAGATCTTTACATATAATGATACTATACATCTTTACTGTCAGAGATTTTTTTCTTTTGAACTAAATACATTCTTCCTTTGTAATTTGAGTTACCAGTTCTGTCTATCCCACCAAGAATTAGTAGATACCTCTGAATAATAGTTTTAATATTTCTTGGTAACATTTATAGTTCATTTTAGACCCAAGATGAGAGGATTACTTGAGAATTACTCAGTTCTTCTGTGGTGGTACTTCAGAGTGTTACAGTATTACGAAATTAAGCATTTTCTGTTTCTTACAAACGTCAGTTTAAAACTTTCCTGATCAGATTAGCTCAGCTTCTGCTTAGCTGTGGTCTTCAGGAAGCACAGTTTCTTTACAGGAGTCTGTCATTCTCATGTCATAAACTATAGTCTAGAATAACCAGCATCATTTGTGAAGTCCGCTTGCCCTCCTTACTTTTCCAAAGTCACTGCCTCTCCTGGAATCAGTGTCAAAACCACTTGGTTCCTGAATCTTGCATTTTTACTCGGAACTCCTACAGTTCTTTTTCAGGTTTCTTGTTATTATCTTCCATTTTTCCATGTCAGGTAGATGAAGCTGGCAGCAGTGTTTTTAAAGAGTTTCCTTTCATGTCTTATATATGTTTTTCAAGAATATTTCCTGGCTCTTTGTTACTCCATTAGGTTTATTCCTGGCCATCCTGTATTCTTCATTAGAATGTCATCAACCACCCTGATCATCATTATGCCACTCTTCCTTCTACTCTCTGTGTTTCTGGAATTTAGCTACTGTCCTTACTGCTCGTTCTGAGCTATACTGGAAGTGACCAGTGACTACCTAATTGCTTTTGAAGTGCTAATTTTCTTAACCCCACAGTTTATTGTTTTTTTCTTTAAGAGACAGAGTCTCACTCTTACCAAGGGCTGGAGTGCAGTGGCATGATTGTAGTTCACTACAATCTTGAACCCCTGAGCTCAAGCAGTCTTTCCAGTTCAGCCTCCCAAATCACTAGGACAATAGGCATGTACAACCACGCCTGGCTAATTTTTTCTCCTTTTTAAAACAATTTTTTTTTTTTTTTAATAGAGACAGGATCTCACTATGTTGCCCAGCCTAGTTACTTTTTGTAGGGATGGGTTCTCACTGTTTTGCCCATGCTGGTCTTGAACTCTTGGCTTCAAGCAATTCTGCCTGTCACCCTCCTCCAGTGCAGGGATTATGGGGGTGAACCACCAAGTCCAACCTGACTCCACAGTTTTTGACACCCACCTCTCTTGTTCTGAGTAGCATTGTACTAGTGTGGTTATTAATTCTCGGAAGTACCTTTCAGCCTGCTGTAATTCTTTTTTTTTTTTTAATCCCAACTGAACTCTACCTCAGGGTGATTGTTGGGATTTTGGGTGGTTTTCTTAGAGTCTTTTAGTCTCCTTCATATAACTTTTCACCTATGTCATTTTGTAGGCGAGTCATGGCCCACTGTATTAATGCCTGACATCCAAAGTTCAACTAATACTTAACTCATTATTCCATTTGACTCAACTATCTTACAAATCAAATATCGAGTACCTGAAAGTAAACAGATAGGTTTGACTTTTCCCAGTCTACTTCCTACTCTGTCCCTTTCCCTGTGATTAGAAAATCACCATGTCTGGCTGGGCATGGTAGCACATGCCTGTAATCCCAGCACTTGGGGAGGCTTAGGCAGGCAGATCACTTGAGGACAGGAGTTCGAGACCAGCCTGGCCAACATGGTGAAACCCCATCTCTATTAAAAATACAAAAATTAGGCCGGGCGCGGTGGCTCAAGCCTGTAATCCCAGCACTTTGGGAGGCTGAGGCGGGTGGATCACGAGGTCAAGAGATCAAGACCATCCTGGTCAACATGGTGAAACCCCGTCTCTACTAAAACTACAAAAAATTAGCTGAGCATGGTGGCACATGCCTGTAATCCCAGCTACTCAGGAGGCTGAGGCAGGAGAATTGCCTGAACCTAGGAGGTGGAGGTTGCGGTGAGCCGAGATTGCGCCATTGCACTCCAGCCTGGGTAACATGAGTGAAACTCCGTCTCAAAAAAAAAAAAAAAAAAATACAAAAATTAGCCATATGTGGTCATGGGCACCTGTAATTACCAGCTACTCAGGCTGAGGTAGGAGAATCGCTTGAACCCGGGAGTTGGGGATTGTAGTGAGCTGAGAAAGCACCACTGCACTCCACCCTGGGTGACAGGGTAAGACTACGTCTCAAAAAAATAAAAATAAAATCACCAGATTCTGTTGGCTCTTTATAGTGGTTTTTGTATTCATTTCTGCCAATGTAACTCACTTTCTTACCTCTTATGTATATTATTGTCATAGCCTCATAGCCAGTTTTCCTGTCTCCAGCCTTTAGTTCTTTTAGTCTGTCAGCATAGAATATTCATCCTACATTTATCACTTATTTTGTCGTGTTAAATTCAGACTTGAAACCCTTCAATTTTCCCCACTATCTACAAGGAAAAGCTCAGACTCTTTTTGTCTCATTTGAAGGCCCTCTGATCTGACTGTTCTCCATCTTTCCACTTCATTTTCTGATTTTCTGCATGAGTCCTTATGTTCAAGCTATGGCCCTTCAACAATCGCTTCTTATGTTTTACCCTGTGTTATCCATTTTGAATGCCGTTTTCATCTCTGGCCTTGAGGAGCCCAAGTTAGTAACTGATGTGACACCCACTCTTGACCGCTACATGCAGGGGCTTTTCTCTCCTACGTTCATCTCTTGCCTATATATGGGCATTCTACTTTGTATTCTCCATGATTTCCTGTGTATAATAGATTTTTAGGAAAGTGTCCTGCATATTTTTAGGGGTTTGAGTAAATGAATTTTTAATAGCTTTATTGAGATGTAATTTACATACCACAAAATCTACCCATTTTAAGTGTACAATTAAATGAATTTTAGTGTATTTACAGAGTTATACAACCATTTCCGCAATCTAAATTTAGAGCATTTCCATCACTTTGTGCCTATTTATAGTCACAAACCCCATTCTTACAGCTCTAATCTACCTTCTGTCTCTCTATATTTTCCTTTTTTGGACATTTTATATAAATGGACTCATACACTATGTGGTTTTTGTATCTGGGTTCTTTCACTGAGCATGATGTTTTCAGGTTCATTTATGTTAAAGTATATGTTAATACTTAGTTCCTTTTTATTGCTGAGTACTATTTCATGGTATGAATATAAGGAGTAAATAGAATTTTGATATTTTCACTCAAAGTGGCATGGTGGAATAGTCTGGTATATTTTTGGCACTGGATTTTATTCTTGTCTGTCATCTCCCTCAAAAATTTCATTGGCTAAGCACAGTGGCTCATGCCTGTAATCCGAGTACCTGGAAGGCTGAGGCACGAAAATTGCTGGAGCTCAGGAGTTGGAGACCAGCCTGGGTAACATAGGGAGGCCTTGTCTCTGCTAAAAGTTTTTTAAAAAGCTGAGTGTGGTGGGGCATGCCTGTAGTCCCAGGTACCTGTGAGATTGAGGCAGGAGGATCACTTGAGCCCAGAAGGTTGAGGCTGCAGTGAGCCACTATCTCACCACTGCACTGCAGCCTGGGAGACAAAGCAAGACCCTGTCTCAGAAAAAAAAGTTTCAATTATAAGTAAATACCCTAAATAAACATCTCTTGTTGTCTCATTGTTCTTTTCAGCTCTATATTGTTTTACACAAAACCCTTACAACTTTGTTTTCTCCATATCATCTATAGGGCCATGTTTATGAGTGGACTAAGTGAAAGCAAACAAACTCATGTACACCTGAGGAATGTGGATGCTGCCACCTTACAGATAATAATAACTTATGCATACACGGGTAACTTGGCAATGAATGACAGCACTGTAGAACAGCTTTATGAAACAGCTTGCTTCCTACAGGTAAGCTTTTTTTTTTTTTTTTTTAAATTAATAGAATCTCGTTCTGTCACCCAGGCTGGTTGCAGTGCAGTGGCACTGATCTTGGCTCACTGCAACCTCTGCCTCCCAGGCCCAAGCAATTCTCCTACCTAACTGTCCTGAGTAGCGGGGGTTATAGGCGCGCACTACCACGCCTGGCTAATTTTTGTATTTTTAGTAGAGATGGGGTTTCACCATGTTGGTCAGGTTGGTCTCGAACTCCTGACCTCGTGATCCACCTGCCTCAGCCTCCCAAAGTGCTGGAATTATAGGCATGAGCCACTGCGCCCAGCTTACACATAAACATTTTTCCCCTCAGTTATATACATGAGTTGTGGCTTATTGGTTTGTTATGTGATTTATTTTGTGAGGAAATACTGTTACATCTTTTTAAATTATTTTTTTGAGATGTGGTCTCATTTGGTTGCCCAGGCTGGAATGCAGCAGTGTAGTCATGGTTCACAGAAGCCTTGAACTTATGGGCTCAGGTGATCCTCCCATTTCAGCCTCCTGAGTAGCTTGGCCTATAGGTGTGCACCACTATGCCCAGCTAATATTTTTATTTTTTTTGTAGAGACAGGATCTCACTGTATTGCTCAGGCTGGTCTCAAACTCCAGGCTCAAGCGATCCTCCTGCTTTGGGCTGTCTAAGTCCTGGGATTACAGGCGTGAAACACCACGCCTGGCCTAGTAACGTCTTTTGTCCGTGTAATTTTCTTATTACATATTTTAGAAGGTAAAAGGTTTTTTTCTCTTTGTAAAATGTGTAAGGGAAAAACAATAGGATTTGATTACCCAGTAAACTGAGTAGTTTTGTGAGGGGAATGTAAATCTGTTAATAGAAAAGATAGGTGAAAATTTTATACTGGTTTCATATGTTTTACTGCCTAATATACCTGAGAATTTTTATTTCAAAAGTTAAAGTCTTTTTTTTTTTTTTTGAAACATAGTTTTGCTCTTGTTGACCAGAGTGAAGTGCAGTGGCACAGTCTCAGCTCACTACAAGCTCACTACAACTTCTGCCTGATGGGTTCAAGTGATTCTCCTGCTTCAGCCTCCTGAGTAGCTGGGTTACAGACATGTGTCACCACACCCAGCTAATTTTTGTATTTTTAGTAGAGATGGGGTTTTTGCCTTGTTGGCCAGGCTTGTCTGGAACTCCTGACCTCAAATGATGCACCTGCCTCAGCCTCCTAAAGTGCTGGGATTACAGACCTGAGCCATCACACGCAGCCAAGTTAAAGTAATTGTAACAATGTTTATTTGAATTTGTTTTTGCTTAGGTATACTAATTTTTCATGATATTACTTTTCACAGAAAACTTGTAGAAATTATGATTTTTTTTTTTTTTTTTTTTTTTTTTTTTTTTTTTTTTTTGGGG